GTCATTTTGTAAATGCAACGGTGGAAGGTAACAACCCCGATAGCAATTTCTTTCCTCTTTATTCTTCCTGTATATGCCGGCAAGATTGACAGCATCTCATAAACTGTAGACGAGAAAGATTTAATTTGCAGGGTAAACTTCGTATTGATTTAACTCACGTCTTAGGCAGTGCTGATGACTTGAAGTGCAAAAAGCAGATTTTGATCCTGGTGAAAGTGATAAATCGTTGGGCCAGACCAGAAGAAAAGTGAACTTGAAGCAGGAAGGATGGCTATGAGGGCCCTGAGTTTATATTATCTGTTTGTGAGGATTCTCCTTGAGAAGGGGGGTCTCTATGGCGCAGTCATTCACCCAAGATTATTTACATTACATACCAGTGGAGTAGACTGGAGAGTCTACCATGCAATTATTCAGCTTCTCAGGGATGATACAATATTTAGGAGTAGGTCCCAAATGAATTCAGTTTTGCTCAGACTATAAGGTGTTACTCACCAGTGAACATCTGCTCCAGAGAAAGTAATTCAGTGCAAGTGTAGGTGATGATGAGAGTGGTGTGCTGCCTTTCCCCTCTGCTGGAAAGGATCCAATACGGCGGTGGTACCCTGAGCAGTGAGAGGCAGGCAGGCTCAAGGCAGAAGCAAAGAAAAGGACTTTCCTTGGCCAGGAAATGGCTGAGGGTGGCAAACACAGTGGTGCTTCCGCTTTATTCGGCTTGTGCCAGAGCTCGGCTGCTGCCTGGGATGTCACCCCCATCCCTCCCATTTTCCCTGCAGCGTCAGCAGCAGTCTTGACCCTTTGGAGCTTCCTTTTCAGCTCTCTGGCCTCACCCTTCCTTCTCCTCTGCCTCTCCTCGGGCTGCTGAAGCGACAGGTTGGCCTGGGCTCTTGTTCACTTTCTTCAGAAGGCAAAACTCAGATCACCCTTATCTGCCAAGGAGCCCTAAGCCAGGCTGGAGACAGTTGCAAAATCAATGCAGCTCTAGTAGCAGCATGAGAGCAAAAATCCTGTTAGCGTGAATCATGTCTTTAAGGATGCAAGCGTTGAACGTGAAGCCTAACACAGCAAGGGGAACGGGGTCCGTGGAGTTACTGTAACAGCCTTGAATGATAATATCAGATTGCGTATCTAGAAGATACTTGCTTCACGAATGTGCATTTCCCTGTCTCTTAGCATTTTCCAGGGGACAGAGGTATTTTCCTTTGCTATGCAGTTTCTCCTAAGGAAAATGAAATACATCACAGGGCAAGTTCTGTGACAAATGGTTTCTGGTCTATTTAGGCACCTCTGCCCTCAATTCATTCTTGTGCTTGTTCATGCTGGATCGAAGAAACTGTACCTTTTCACTCTATTTTTGAAGAAGACTACTTTAGGTCACTTGGTATTTTTGATGTCTAGGTTTCTGTAGACCAGGATTAATCTATATAATCAGCTTTTGTCTTGTCAATTTTAAACATATTTAAAAATTAATTTTCAATGTAAGTGTCTTCAAATTAACTTTGGCAAACCATTTATTGTTCAGCTTCCCAGCATTGCATTGGCTGGGTCAGAGAGGTCCTAAAATTAACAGGTCTGGAATCTGTGAAGGACACAAAGTCCTCTGTGAGCAGACTAGGTTCTTGTAGTTATTATTATAATATCTTCCTATTATATACTTGTTAGCACTTAAAATTTTATGTCCAGCCAGAAAGGCTGTGTTGTCATTTTAACCTTCTGGAAACTGGACTGAGATTGAATTGAAAATGACAGTCTCTTTTCCCTCACAGCATCTCACATTTCTTTGCTATACATGGCCAATTATTCTAGAAGAAAACTTGTATTGTTAAAGACAAAATTTTGCCTTGACCAGCTGATTTTGAAGCTGATCAGCTATTATAACAACAATGAAAGATAACTTTTCCTTTGCTTTCCAGAATAAAAAGTGACTCAATTTCCCTTCTGTTTCCCTTTTTATTTTCTTTTATCTAGTTTGAAGAAAACATTCTGGATGCTTGCCTGTTCCTGATGGACAAGGCACAACTGGAGCTCTCTGGGCGTGGAAACCCCATCAAAATCTGCCGTGTTGCCTCTGCAGTGGTATGTTATGATGCCTAAGATGTCTCAGAAGCGACTCATAAATTAAAGCCAAGCTGGCTTAACTGGCCCTTGTGCCCCGATGTGCTCACTCCAACAAGTGCCAGATCAATTGTCTGTTCTGAGCCTCAGGGGTCTGGCATTTTATTTCGCTCCACTAAAGGTGAAATATTTATGTCAGCTCATCACCTTTTCCTGAGAATGGTACCTTACTGGTAGGAAAGCCACTTTTAGACATTGCACTCCAGGCATGATAGCATTTCTTGTGACACTGTGCATACTTTCTGGTAGCTGAGATAACTGAGAAAGCTATTTTTGCTATGGATGGTAAGGCGGCATGATGGGTGGAATTTGGGTTGGGGGATTGAGAGGCTTTATGTGGACTTCAGCACTAACCTCAGAGGGGTCTTAAGACACTGTTGTGGTGCATGTGACTGTGATTTTTAAGCCTCAGGTGGCCTAGTCAAGCTGATGATGTTTACATAAGATACTTTGGCCCCAGAAGAAAGCACTGCTAGAGCTGTGCTCTTAAACATGGGGCCCACAAAACTTACTGTATTCAGAATGCAGGCTCCTAAAATAATCAGAAGCAAAGATTAAGATGCTAGGCAGCAGGAGTCATGCTAGGGGTACAACAGCAGCCCCATCCCTGGTGTGCAAGAGGAAAGACTCGTCCAGGATGTGGAAGGCAGAGGCTGCATCCTATCCTCTGCCTTATAGAGGCCTGAACTGATGCCTTCTGCTTCCCAGATGAGTACCCTAGTCATTGAGCTAGCGTCATTAGATGTTCTCCAAAGTCAGCTACTAAAATAGTGTCTGCAAAACATGGCTGCTGGAGTTGGATGATCCTTTAATCCACTTATTACAGCATTTGCCGAGGCTCTAAGAAAACAGGCTCTTTGTTTTAGATATTGAAATGGGTTCTGCAGCCTCTCAGAGCCACATGTTGATTTTTGCATAACATCTAGTTAAACAGAATAGCTCTAGCATGAACGATTGAGGGCACCCCCACTTCTCTTTTAACCTTTTTGCTAGTTCTTTCACCCCAGACATTAAAAATACAGCTTCAGGACTTCAGACAGAGGTAAGAATTGAATGCGGTTCCTTCATCACTAGGCTAATTAGATGTAAAGTGTCCCTCATACAGGGACCCTGGAAGCCCTGTGGGCAGAATAGCATGAAGTTTATGAACCTAAAGCAGGTTTGGATGTTACTTACGTTTTGAGCCATTCAATCATTTTAGGGACGTGGGGAGAAGTTCACCACTGGAAATCCAGGAGTCAATGGACTTTAAGTCTAATCTGCAAGATTAGGCCATAGCTGGGTGGGAGTTTTGGTCATCTGAAATATGTACCTCTGTAAGAAGTGGCCAAGAGGTGTTGAAGTCCTGCCCATGTCCCTTACCCTCATTCTTGCTCAAGATGTGATGCAGTAGAGCTGAGTTTGCCTGAGGAGGTGCCCGGTGCTGGGATCCTTCTGAGGCTTCCTGACATTCTTTCATCTCTTTACAGCCAATGGAGAGCCTGAAGATCAACATGCTGCTCTCTCCTTGAAGTGCCTCTTTTCTTGGCATGTTTCCCACAACAACGAGACGGGCACAACCCCTTAACCCTTTGGTTATGACTCTGAATACTTATCTTTATTCAGTCCTAGGGTTCACAGGAAGTCGATTTTCTAATTATAAAACAGTAGTTAATCCAGCCAAAAGCTTTTAAATGAGAATTGTGATTTATTTGGCTGGTGTGTAGCTGTTCCACATTAGCATAATTAAAAGATACAGAGCGAATGAGCTTTTTGCACAGCCTCAACTGGTTTGGTTGAAATTGCAGCTAGGAGATGTATTGCTCGTTAATGCCCATCAGTATAGCCATTAGTCAGCAAAACTCCTTGCTTTGTATAATCTTACCAGGGAAAAACTTACACAGCAAATTCCTTCTTATTTTCATGTGTGCTGGACCAAAGAAATCAAGTTTCTACTCTAAAAATAACAGTGGACTGGTTCTCCTCTCAATATGCTGTAAATCTGGAGTGATTTTATTAAAATCTCTGGGCTGATATGGACAGAAAAAAACAATGTTAGGAAAGAATCCAGTTCAGTATTTCTGAGGCTTGCTTATCAGTGTATAACTGATTGTATTTATTATAAATACATAACAGTAAGCGTGTTTAATGTTAATAAAACTTGCAAAACCTGCAACATGGATACTCAGTGTGGTGACCATTATTTTTAAGTGTCTGACCTTCACTCGAAATTGTTCAGCGATGGAGAATCCATGGCCCTTAGGAAGATTGTTCTATTCATCTCCTACCTTCATAATTAAACATTTCTGTCTTATTTCTAGCCTAAACTTGACTACATTCAGACTCTCCCATCCTATCTTTGTCTTCTGGGTTAAAGAGCTCTTTATTATTCAGTCTCTGACATCCCTAATGCTCGTTTCATTTGTCTTTAGATCAACTCCAGGGATGACGATGGTGTGATTGCTGGATCCTGGGACAACACGTACACTTACGGGGTCGCACCAGCAGCCTGGACAGGAAGCGTGGACATTCTCTTGGAATACTACAGTTCTAAGCAACCAGTGCGATATGGCCAGTGCTGGGTCTTTGCCGGTGTCTTCAACACGTGTAGGTATCAGTGAGAAAATCTCCACCCTGCTATATGATTCTTGCATAACAGAGAGTGCTTCTAGGTTAAACTAGCTAAAATACTTCTTGGCTCTGTGGTGTTCATGAGTAGAGATACTTAAAAATACGTGGCTAAAATAGATGGTCTTTAAATAAACTTTTGGCATCTCCTTCAGTTTGGCTCCTCTTCCACACAAATCTGTTAACTATTTATTTGTTCAGTAAACTGCATTCAGTGACTCACAGAGGGTAAGTCTGGGAGAGAGAAACTTAGTCTTTTGGCACACTCCACATTTCTGTTAGGAAATCTGAGATGAACAGGGGGCTTCTTATCTAGACCACAACATGGAACTATTACGCAATATGGATATGTGATGGTGTCTCTGCTCCAGAAAGGCTAAATCTCGCCTATCAAGGATTGTTCCTAGAAAGACTGACGTGCGTTGTCTCAGCACCTGTCTACTGAGCGCTATTAGCATTTTCTATGGAGTTTGTGAGCAAGAACAATGAGGAAAATGCTGGCCTGGTTTATGAATTGTCTGGCACTACAAGGTTAAGCCTAAACACAGTTGCTCAAACTAGGGTCCCAATGTGGCAGCAAATGGGGTGTTGCAGGTTGTAAAACTCAGTAGGGAAA